GGTAGTGGCACTTCTCAAAGCGGATGGAACGCACGGCAACCTCAGGCGGATATTACAGTTTCGGGGAGGTCCAGAGCACCCATCTTGAAAAGTGAACACGAAGTCCTTCTGCTGAATACAAAGCCGTACAGCATCCGTACAGCCATACAGGCTTCGGGCTTCGGGATCAGATTCGGGGCTCATCTTGTTGCATGATGCTGGGAAAGGTCCCTGGCGTAAGCACGCTCCCGAGCTTCGGCGATGCCTCCATTGGCCACGGCAGTGACGGCCTGGAGGGGACGGGGTGTGCAAGTGTCAGGTCAGGGTCGAGCGAGCAGGATTTGAAAATCTGAGATACGTGTTGAAATTCTGTGGCCATGCTTGGATTCAGGACTTGCGTGGCGACATGGGCACAAGGTCCCTGACCCACTAAGGCCCTACGAAACGTAAATGCCCAGGAAGTTCTGAAGCAAGTAAGAAAGCCGCACCTAGGCCCGCGTTCCGTGTGTTCCAAGATTCGGGCAAGGACCCGCCCGCCGGAGGTGACCACTGAGGTGGGCTTCGTGACGCCTGCAAGCAAGGCTGTGCAAAGAAGTTGAAGACATGCCATTAATTTTGCTTCTGGAGCCTTCCACTCTGCTTCTTCGCTCAGCCAGTTTCGAGTCGAGCAGCGTCGAGCTGTTCGAGAATGAGAGAATGTGAGAATTCTGACAAAGCATCCCCACCACATTCAGAACTCTACAAGTACTTCCTTTTGTAATCTTTTCGTCAAGACTGTGGGAACCCTTGGGCGGCAGTGGCGCCCTAGCAAGCAGCAAAGGGTCCAATCGTGCTCCTGCTGCTGACGAGGAAGAGGAAGAGGAGGGCGTTTATGATGGTGAAAATGGGGTGGGGATGGTCATGATGGTGAGGATGGCGGCGGTGGTGGTGCTGGCGATGACGGTGGTGATGGTGAGGCTGCAGAGGTGGCTGTGGTGGCTGTGGTGCCGGCGACACGTCTGCACGCTCAGCCGGACCCTGGATTCTTCCGACAACCCCCTACTCCCTACAACACTCTACAAAAAGGAATGAACCGACGTCGCCCGATGCCTCGCGTCATCATGCGGTGGTGCAGCATGCGCTGCAGGGCCTGCAGCGCTTGCGAGGAGTTCTGGACATCTCCAAGATGAATCAACGCCCCCCGCAAGCAACCCCGCAACCTTTTCAGTTCCCGCTCAGTTCCCGCTCAGTTCGTCTCAGCTCCAGGCACCGGATCCACCATTGGCCGACAGCTGCAGGCTGGTGTTGTCCACCTGAGTTCACTTTCTCGAACTTCGAACCCGGACACCCCCCATCACACGCACACACACACACACACACACACACACACACACAGCCTCATTAAGCCTGTTGCTGGCTTCGTCCCGGCGTGGAAGATCGTGACGCCCGGGACGATACAGGCGCGCTCGAGGCCAGAGATCTGGGACGTGCTTTAAGAAAGGGGGTAGCAAGGAGAGGGTGGCAAAATGTGGCCAAGGCTTAGGTCCGGGGCTTTTGGGACGTCTTTTGGCTGTTTCGCCAAGATTCCCCAAGTCTTGTTCAAGCTGTTTCATCAGCTCTTGGAATTCCATGTGCCAAGGTTTCCAGGTATACCTAGGTACTGTGATGTGCTGAGGTGACGAAGCGGTCGAACATCTTGCCTTCAGCCACGTGAAACGGGTGTCCTTTGTGACTGCTCCTTTGAGGAGGTCAGATCCCTTAAGCCTTGCAACCTGAGCCTGAGCCGTGTGCTCGGTAGCCCTTCTCGAAGCTCTCGGGGTATCCACCTGCATTGAGACTTGAAGATTCTGAAGACTCTCTCATGCAGCACGCTTTGTCTGAGCACCCCAAGGGGCATAAGGGCCCCCCCCCCCCCCCGAAGAGCGTCTCTGGGTGCGCGGGCCGCTGGCCATGGTCACGGAGACGGCGCAGGTGTTCTGAGGTGCGCTGCGGAGTCGGGAGTTTTTTGTTTGCTGTTGGGAAACCCTTGGGCGGGGGGTTTCATCTCTGCTTGGGGGTGGTGAGATGTGGCTGCATTTTGGGCATATTCGGGGTTTTTTGGGGTCGGCAAGTTCACAAGCCATGCTATTGGACCCTGAATCCGAACCTTAGTCATGTCGCCTCGGAAACACCGATGGCGGTATCAGGGTTCACAAGCTCCCCTTGGGCGCAGGAGTTGAGCACGTGGTAGAGATCCTGGGTGAAGGCACGGGCGGCTTCGTCGCAGGGAAATTTTACTTCAGAGTATCTTGGGCATTTTGGGGCCTGAGGGGTTTGGCCGAACGGGGGGCATACTGGACCAAACATGCTTACAAACAAGCGCAAGACGCCTTGCGTGATAAATTGGCTGACTGGGCCGCTGGCGCACTCCAGCAGAGGCAAAACCTTAGAGAGGTCACGGCGTAGGCAGCTCATCTCGGAGTCATATGCCCCACAGTTCAAATGATTAGCTCTCGCAATCTGAAGGAGCGGCAAGAGCGTCCCTCGAACCGCTCCCCTCAACCCATCCCAAGATTTTCTCAACTTTTCGCGTCTTCCATTTGCTTTGCTGAGGCACTCTGCCCCGGCCCTATTCGGATTGTGGCTGATTTGCGTTTGTGTGAGTTTTGGGTAGTTTGAAGCATTTTGGAATTTGGTCCAGTTGGCAAGTGGCTCAAGTGGCTTTCTCTGAACGTGGCCGAGAGAAAATGTCTGAAAATGTCCACGAACTCTTTATCTCAAGCTCCCTTCTGGCCATATTTCACAACCCTGCCAAGACACCAAGCTTTCAGTCCGGGAAACACCCCCAAAAAAAACAAAAAGGCCCTGGAAGCGACCCTGAAGTTCCAAGTCACGGAAACCCTGCGACCCCAAGCCAACCAAGCTGGGGCTTCCGGCGGCCTGCGTCTCAGGATCTCCGAAGCGGCAATTGAACTCAATGACCTGCGCACAAGGAAAGCTGCGCCTTTTGGAGAGGCTTAGCAGTTTGAAACATCTGAAGCCTTCCAGGATTCTGGGCTATGAGCGATGGCCTTCTTGAGCCCGTGGCCAAGGTTTGCAGCAACTTGCTAAACTACGACAAGGCTCTTGAATGCTCTTGATTCAAGAGCGCCTGCAACGCCCGGCGCACGGGGCTCTCCGATGCTCTCTGCACCCTGTGCTGCACCCCGTGGGAGGAACGGCTCGCCTTCGGCCCGTTTGCGGTGATCATGAGGCCCGCGAAGAGGCAGCCAATGAAGGGTTTGCCTGACTGGAGGATGAAATTGGAGGAGGGCGAGGGGTCGGAGAGGGCCTAACCGCGGCCTCCCAAACAAAGAAGGCAAAACAAAACCCCGAGGACCCATGAGGACAAATGAGCCGAAAGGGTGAGATGCCCCCACGGGCACACCTCGTGGCAACTACGTTCTGGCTAAGGGCTCTGCTCTAAGCACCTCTAAGCACCTCCAAGCACCTCAGGAATCTTTGCTGAATTTCCTTTCCGGCCTTCCGCTCTCAGCCCATCGATGGTCGGCATCAGGATCTCCGTCCTGCCCCCAAAAGCTAGATGCGGGACTTTTGCGCATGCTTCACATCACTTCAAAGCTCCACCCATGCCCCAAACAACACTGAAACTCCAGGACTCAATGACTCCAGATCACTCCCCATCCTGATCTGCTCCAGCATCTCAGGTTTAACAACCTTTGCTGAAGGCTGCGGCGCACGGAGCTGACACTCAGGATTTGGAACTCCGGTTTCTGGATCTCTGCGAAAGCGTCCTTTAGGAAAACGTGGGCTTACACTTTGGATTCTCCCAGATTCAAGCTGTACGAGCCCCAACATCTTTTTTGGGAGCGCTGCGGGAGTAGGAGCGAAGGCGCCCATCCCGCCTCATCCAAGGAGCTGTCTTGGAGGATCATGTTGGGGGGCAGTCTGTTACTGCGTAGCAAAGAACGGCATGAGGGCTTGAGGGCTACCGCGAAGCATCCTGGGATGGCTGCAGCAGCCACGAACAGCCATGCTGAAGAGCCATGATGCCAGGCCATGCTGCAACCTGCCTGTGTTGGGTCCGCGGTCGCAGTCGAAGACACGCTTGTGGTCCTGTTGGGCCGTGGGGCTGTGTTGCCCGGGATTTCTCTTTGCAGGGTATTTGGATTGCCTCATCTGCCCTAAAAAAAATGAAGGGATCATTGTTGCCTTTAAAACCTTTGCATACTGGAATCGGTCACTTTCTGCCAAATCCTGTGGTACCTCCCACGGAGGCCTCCCCATTAAGTCCTACCCAACGAGCCGGGGGCCTCCTGTAAGCCTCCCCTTAAAGAGCTTCACCGGTATCCTTCTCCCCTGGAGGAAGCAACACTTGCAGCTGCACAAGGTGCAGGGACAACCTGGGCACAAACCTGCACCTAAAGGACGCGCGCACGCGCACGCACGCAACTTCGAGTTCCGATGGCCCCCCCCCCCTCCCCCCCCAAAGTCTCGTCAACCCAGTCCTAGACGCAAAGACCCGAAGCCACGGCCCCGAAAGAAGAAACCAACACCTCAAACTCCTCCCCGCCCACAACCCCTCCCCCCCACCCGCAAACAAAAAGAAATAACGAACCCACGACCCAATCTGGACGGCCAACTGGAATCTTGAGTCACTTAAGCCTTATGAGCGTCCTGGGCCGGCGGCAGCACCGCGATGCGCTTGCCATCGCAAAGCGCAAGGATGGAACACTCAGGCCTCGGAGCGCAAGACGAGGTGCAAACCGAATGTGGTTCCAAGATCCAGGTCTTCCAGGGTTTTTCTGGGTTGTGGAGTCTAACCTCAAGGCCTAATCCACTAGTTCATGAAATCAGGGGGGGCGAAGATGTGGAGGGGGGTTCATTTGGCATGGCCCGCAGAGGGTCTGGCCCAAACATCCGCTCTTCCAGGACAACTTCGGCACCTCGCTTCAGGACGCGGCAACTAAGCGAAGCGGCTTAGGGCAGACCTGACAAAGCAGGCTCGAGGATGTCACTTGCGCCTGAAAGCATCGGAGCTGAGACCGATCGACTCCGATAGATCATTCCTTCGAACCGTGGCCCCTACCTGCGTCGCCAAACTTCTTCGCTTCCAAGCACCTGGAAGGGGCGCGGGAAGTTTGCACCTGTTTAGGAAGTTGAGGAGGCAGTCGAGGCCCCGTGAGGACTTGACCACAGACTGGGCAGCCCAGCCCGGGCACCAGGATCACTCCCTCTTCGAAGGCTCCCTCTTCGAAGGCTTTCTTTGCAAAGTGCCACCCAACACCCCAAATCGAGAAGACCCTGAGAAAGCAACCCCCCCCTTCCCTCCCCCCCTCCCCCTCCTCCCCCCCCCCAAAAAAGAAAAGACACTCGGCGCCGCGCTCGCGCACGGCAGCCTTGGCCTCTTCGGGAGTCTCCGGCACAACCTGAGCCAACAGCTCCCCAGCCCCCCCCCCCCCATAGATGGAGGGAGATAGAGACCTGCCTTCTTCAAGGGGCTCTCGGGGCTTTCCGGAAAGTCTCGGAGTCTCGGGTGTTTAATTGCAGGACAGACACCATTTTCAACTTTCGAGCATTCCTGAGACAAAAGAACTCAATCCAGAGTTGGTCTTCTGAGCATCGGACCACACCTTTTCCGGCTGCGAGGCCGCTCGCCTTGCCCGAGGATTCTTTTCTGTCTCAGATTCTATTCAGAGCGCCAGTTTTGACCTCTCAGGAAAACATTGTTGGCGATTTGGGGTTCCGGAGCGGACCCGCCGACATGTCAGCGGAAAACCTCAATTCAGTCATGCCTTCACGACCACATCAAAGGGCACGGAGTCGATGTACTTCAGCGCGGCTTCCAGGCCGCCATTTTCTGGGAGCCAGGCTGCGTTTGGGCATTTTGTGAAGCCCAGACTACTGGCAGAGAAACAAACTGCGGAGCAGAGTAGAGCCACAGAAGTTTTCAAATGTCGACAAGGGTTTCGAGAAGCCTTTAGCAATCCACCCTCAAGTTGTAGTAAAGAGATCCCAAGGCCCTTCTGCCCTCAATTGGGGATGCCCCCAGCACGTCGTGGGCCCGCACGGGCGGAGAAGGTCTGATACTCGGCCGTGGGGATGTTGTGGCGCTTCATGAAATCCTGGGAGTGGTTTTTACGGGGCGGGCGGGGGTTTTTACAGTTTGGATGAGTTTGGGATTGGTTGGGGGAGGGGGGGGGGGGGGGGGGGGTCGGTGGTCACAGGCAGGTGGTATCGTTCGAATGGGAGGAACACGGCATCAGCTGCCATTCGTCATAAGCCAGTGCTGTCGATACACCGATCAACAGAATCCTGCACCCAGGATGTTTGAGAGTACTATCATACTCCGGCTGGCTATGAAACACCAATGTTCGCCAGAATCATAGCTTGAACTGCGCTAGATACCACAAGCATCACCGCCTTAAGGCGTTAAATTTTCAAAGAAGCCGCATCCGTCTTCAAACGAGCACGCGGGAGCACCCGGAGGCCCAGAACCAAAGGAAACACCCAAGAGCCTGAACCAAGCTAAGGCCAGCCCCTTGTAACAGCTTGAGCCCGGAGTCCCAAACTAGGCGCGGACTTCGTTCCCGCAAAATTGGTCACAGAAGTCAGATCCCGAAAGGTCCCCCGACATGCAGAGCAGGGGAGAGGGGGGCCTTGGCAAAGGCCTTGGATGCCTCAATCTGTGCCGCCGCTTTGCTGGGCCCGAAGACCGGGATATCCTGTGGCGAGTCTAACGAGACTCGGCGATTCTCAGAATTCAAAATTTAAGTCTCTCTTGTGTTATAACGACGATAGAACATCTCGGTTTCCAGTCTCGAGAAGTCTCAAGTTTTCATCCCCCGGCCTCGGCACGTAGCTGGTCCGCAAGGCCATCAGCGAGCATCTGCCTCGCAAAAGCATGGCTTTGCCTAACGACACTGAGTCCTGAAGTTTGAGCCACTTTCTTCGCACAACTTCAAGCCATAAAACCCCGCACCTTCAAAGACCCCTGCTTTTGTGGTAACGAGGCATGTTTCTGAAGCAGCAGCACGAGTCTGCCGCCTCTTCAGGTGTAATCATTCGAGAGCATTCGAGAACATTCGATAGCCTGCGATTGGCCTTATCAATCCCAAGACAGTCTCTTCGGCCCAGCGGCTCTGGTCCAACCACGACCAGGCCGACGTCATACTGACCTGCCAGATGACGCATCGCATTAGGCTCGAAGCTACATGTGCTTGTAATATGAAAACCTCTACTTTCACTGCAGTCTAGAAGGAAAACCTTTATTCTCTCTTTGATAGAGCCAATACGTTTCCTTGATCTTGATGGTGAAATACATAGTTTTTAGAGAAAAATCCTGCAAAACAAAATGCTCGCATGGCGGGTTTGTGATGGATTCCTATGTTGTTGATGCAAGCTCTCTTCATGGCATCATCTTCCTTACAAAATTTGCACGAGCTGGCAGGCCAATGGGGGTCTCCCATTTTGCAGACACAATGTTCTTAAATACAAGTCCTCTTCACGGGATGATCGTCCTTGCAAAGCAAGTTTGCACGGTGTTTCAAAATTAAGAGAGGAAAAAAACAAGGCGGGTGGGTTGCGGGGCGCAATCCCACACCCCCCCCCCCCCCGCCAAAAGAACGATGGCATGATGAGTTTGGAAAGGATTCGTATGTTTTCAGTGCAAGTTCTTTGCGTGGCATGATCTTCGTTACCAAACGCCGCTTGAAAGGACATGAAGGACGGCGGGGCTGGCGGGTTTGCAAAGGATTCGGATGTCTTTAAAGAAACTTTTATTCATTCATGGCATGTGTTTATCTTGCCCGATATCGCCCCGAAGCCATGTAAGCTCCTGGACCTGAGCACAACCCCAAAATCCTCCAAACCCTTCCAGGGCAGCGGCGGCAAAAGCTGATGACCTCCTCGAACTTCGGGGCCTGGAGAACTTGGACAAGTTGGACCAAGCTTCTCCAGAAGCCAGTGCTGCTTACAACCGGGCACTCGTGGCTCTGTTTTCCCCGGCATGGGCGCATCGGGCTTGATTGCAATTTGCAACCAACGCAGGGCTTTGCTGCATGGTTGATTTGCTGCAGCCAAGGCGAGGTCAAGGGGCATTGAGAAAGAAGTGATTAGAAGCGATCGTGGAATGCTGAGCAACTTGATGCAGTGCAGCCAGCCAATCACCGGCACACTGAGAGGTCCTCTGCAGAAGAGCAAGTGGCTGGTTCTTCCCTATGCTCCTTTACAGCCTTGGGCTCGGCACAGCAACGAGCGTGAAAGTCTGACCTTTCAACCCTCAACATAACAAGAAGCCTGCTGCTGAAACACTGTGGCACACGGTTGAACAGGAACACAGTTGAAATCCTGAAGCCTCAATGCCTCAACCCTGAGAGCTCCTATGCTGTGACCTTGCAATCGACTTGGCCGATGCGGTCCCAGAAAACCACCTTGCAGGCACTTCGGCACTTCTCCAAGCGGTTGCAGCTTGCTGCCAAGGGTCGAGTGGGATCTGCTGGCCGGCTCGGGGGTGTTTACATGTGTTTCGGTGTCCCTCCAGAAGTAAATCCGCAAAAAAGGCACTGTGCGGCTACATGCCCCCGCGGAGCCTTACCATCTTCGCGCACGGCGGCGAAGCCCTCGCTGCCGCCCTCGATCACCTGGATGTTGGTTAGGTCCTCCACGACAGCTCGATGCACCGGATGCACTGGCATGTCCGCTTGTGGTGTGGCCCTCGTGGCTAGGCCACAGAAACTCAGGTTTAGATCATGCAGAACAGCTATGCTGACACGTTTTAGTAACGTTCTGCCTCTGCCTGAAACAACGCTACATGGTGGCTCGACTTAAACCGTCCGTAACGCGGTCGCTGCTGGCTCCGTAGTTGCCTTGACAAGGAGCGATTGAAGAGGCATTCAGTACCAGGCTTACGCTTTCATAGGTGTTTCGGGAACCCACAAGAACATCTGGGCATCTGTGAAGGACTCTCCGCCCGGATTCCCTGCACCCCACTGCCTTCGCTTCGCCCAGGTTCTGGAGCCAAACCAGCTTCAATGCTTCAATGAGTCCCCTCCCCCCCCTCTCCCTCCCCTCCTGCCCTCCCCCTCCCCCCCAAAAAGAACACAGAAAAAAGAGAAGGAATCACCCGAGCCATCTTACCCCGAAGCCCAGGTGCGGTCTCCCCAGCTCACCACAGTTCCATCTGACCTCACAGCCGAGAAGGCCGCAAACGAGCCAGCCACGAACTGCACGCCCTGCGCGATGCCAGGAGACTTGCGGGAGTTGTTGGAGCTGTTTGAGGTTCGGGCTGGGCGGCTCCCAAGCCCCCTCGTCTCCTTTGAATGACAGCTCAAGAGCGGGGGGCGGGAGGTCAGGGCCTGCCACTGGGCTGAAGGCTCACCAGTAGCCATTCGCCGTCGGGTTGCTGCAATAAAGATAATCGAAAGGAGTCTAGGACAGGACCATCTTTCTGCAACCCCCAGTCCAGCCATTCAGCATCCTTCAAACCTCACCAGAAAACATTGTTTGGCTCTTGGAAAGTTCAGAGAGCCTTCAGCGCGTCGTTGGTCATGCCCTGCGCCGCAAGATGTGCACCCCAACCGGTCACCTTCGCCGAATTTGACTCCGTTCTTAGCAAACCGTTCTCTGTTCTGACAATCATCCTTCAAACAACGGGCAAGGCAGCTTTGCTCATTGCCCCCAGCAGGGGAAGGTTCGAAGGAGTCTGAGCTCGAAGTTCTGTGCAGTCTGGTCACGTGCAGCGCATGCGCAGTGCAGGGAACATGCAGAACTAAGACACTCCCTGGCATACAGTCAGGCCAGCAAGCAGCTAGTGGCCGTATCGTGCAAGAAGATGTGGCATCTTGCATGAACGTCTTGCGTTGGTGTGGTGTGTTGGGTGTATTTGTGGCATAGCTGTTTGAGGAAGGTTGTGCCTGGGTTCAGCTCAGGGGACTTATGTTCAAATGCAGTCGAATCAAAAACCAATCGGCGAGCGATTTAGAGTGTTTGAGGGAGTTGCTTTTTGGAAGGGGGTGAGACATTGTCAATTCTAAGCCTTGGCCTCTATAGCCCATGCGAAGACGAAAGAGTGAAAGAGTGAACTGCCGAACGCTCGGCCAAGGCTTCGCAGCCCCGAGCGGTCAAAAAGAGATCAAAGAGCGGAGCTATTGGCGACCCTGACCGACAAGGTAGTTCCGCATCCTTTTTCAAGCGCACCATCTTTGACCCTAGGCCCAGAGCCCCTTGTTTACCTATTTTACCTTCATGCATTCAGAGACCCGGAGCCCCCTTTCAAGCCTGGGAGGCCTCAGTCTTAAACGTAACAAGTCACTGGAGAAAGATTGGCCGGGATTGGCAATGAGTCAGCATCATTCAGCGCTGTTGGGGCTGCTCTCTGCCTTCCTTTACTTCCTTTACTTCCTTTACTCCACTGATTGTGTCAGACTGTGGGATCCCATCCGCCACCCAAGGAGCGTGGAGATGTTTGCTGTCTTCCTGGGCTACCCCGGCTGCATCGCAGATGCCACCGTTTGCCTAGACCCGCCCCAATATATCCTCTCAGGCTTTGGTCTCTGGTCTCCTTCACATACCCGCGAAGTCCCAATAAAATGAGGGGTCCGGAAAGGGGTCTCGGTGTCTTTGCGGGCGGAGGGGCTGTGGCATCCGCATGGAGGGCCACGAAGCCCTTGCCGCAGGCGAAGACCCGCTGCACGGAGCCGCTCTGGAGCCGCTCCTCTGAACTTTCTCGCGCGCTTGAGAGAGAAAGGCGCAGAGGACACATCTTCTTCTACCCAGCGACGGGGCCCGCCGTGAGGGAGGCCAGGCCACGCCAGCGGAAACCCACACACACACACACAACACGACATCTCTCTAGCTCTCTCTCTCTCTCCCCCATCCCTCCCTCCCTTCCTTCCTTCCAGCAAGCCTTTCTTTTATTCTGTTTTCCTTTCTCTCCCTCTCTTTTCTTTCATTTCATTGACTTGCTGTTCTTGTGTTTTTTTGGTTGTACTTTTTGCTTTCCGTTTATTGCTTTTCTTTTCTGTTTTTTTTTCATGATTTGATGTTCTTTGAATTTATTTGCTTCTATGTTTGCTATGTTTGCTCTTTTCTTTTCTGGTAGTTTCTGTTTTCTTTTCCTGAGTTGTCTTTTCTGCTTTCCTTCTTTCCTTCATGCTTTCCTTATTTCCTTCTTTCCTTTCATTCCTTCATTCTTTCAGTCTTTTATTCTTTCGTTCTTTCATTCTTTCATGGTTTCATTGTTCATCATGGTTCATTGTTTCTTTCTTTCTTTC